CTGTAGTCACTGAGGATGGTAATGTTGATGAAGGTATTGAGGTTGTGGTAGTAGATATAGGTGTTGATGATGTGGCAGTCGATGTCGGTGCTGAGGATAGTATCGATGATTTAGGTGCTGAAGTTTTGGTTGTAGATGTAAGTGTTGAGGATGGTGTCGATGTTCTAGTTGTTGAAGTTTTAGATGTATTTTCTGAGTATGGTGTGGAGGATTTTAGTGCTAAAGTTTTGGTTGTTGAGGATGTGGTAGTGAATGATGTAGGTTCGTATGATGTCAATGATTTAGGTTTAGGGGTTTTGGTAGTATATGTTATAGGTGCATGGGATATGGTTGATGATATTGAGAAGTCAGTTTCTTCATCAACTAATTTTCTTTTTAAGAATCTTGTAGTTGAAGTATTGTTTCAGTTCAAAACATGAGGTTCGATGATTATTCATTTTGCCTTAACACCTGGTGCTCCTTTTGGTTTCGAGTTCGATATCTTTCTTGCATACAAATAAAAAAATGAGTCAATACCAATTTATTAAAGATGATAATATCATGATGATCAGAGAAAAAACATAAAATAAAAAATAAGTTTTAGATGAAGGTATTATTATGCATTGATTTTTGATCATCAAGCAGATGTTCTTCCATTCTTTCCTTAAACCAAGAATAAAGGTAATGTTGAACCTAGAATAGTTCGAACTACATTATACCTTGAACATTTGTAGATCAACTCATTGAAATAATCATAGTATGCTTCAATTGACTACATCTCGATGCCCCCTAGCTACTTACCAAAAGTAGCTGTGACCTCCCTGGTCTGAACTTATATGCCGCCTTACTGAATCACCGGATTCCCGCCCGGTTGTTGAATCAAAACGCACACGCAGTCGCCCCACGTGACTTCCAAATGAAAGTCTCAACTGGAAATAACTGCCCTAGCTATCCCGCCACTTATGGCTCCAACCAATCATATTAGCTCGACAAACCTGACGCCACCAAATCCCATGCTAAAAGTGAATGCTATGTGACTAACTGTAGTCTTATATCACAACCGGCCTCCAACGACCTACCACTTCCTAATTCCATGCATGATGTGTCCTTCCCACAGTATTACGAACTAACCTAACCTGGTCTAATCCGTCTAAAGACATCCATGACCAATCATCGATTTTCCGCACCCTCACCGATGCACAGGGACTGGTGAATGTTATGGGTCACCCATAGTCTTACAACACTCTCACACTAACTGCCAACCTAGTGAATGTTATGGGTCACCCCCGTAGTCTTACAACACTCTGATCTTGTTATGGCCACTACTCATGGTCTTACTGCTCATCTATCACTCAATCTGTATTCATCATGAGTCGAACACCCATCAGACCAAGCACCCAATCTGGGGCTCGTTCATGCTTGGAACCCCAACCTGGGTCCATCAAAAGCCTATTATCCATCACCAAGAAGGCACGAACGAACTTTTGAAAGTTTATTGAACTCCCAACTCACACGATCCTCAATCCAGGCAGCCACCTGAGTCAACTTCCCTCCCAATGGGAATCTGAAATTCATCCTAGTTTCACGAATGATCCCACTCCCGTAAATCTGAACGGTTCTCCCTTACTTCGATTTGATGAAGCTCTCTCAGCCAACAAAGTCTGACGGATTCCCAATCCATCTTTCTTCCTTATGGTCGAACCGTCGACAACTTACGCTTACCAAAACTAGTTTTCCTTCACTAGCCCATCCTAATGTCCGCACAACTCTTATAATCCATATACACACTCCCCAAAATCTCAGCAATTCCAACAACCCCAGACGCTTTCAACGATAAAGCACCCAAATTCTGAAGTCCTCTATACTGGTGACAAAGACCGAAATCCCAACAATAGATCAATTCCCATGGCACTCCCAGTGGCCAACAATTCTCACATGCTAAAACTACTTAACCCCCACTATACTGGAGAACAAACCCGCTGAACTTGACCATAGAACTTCCAAAAAAAATACCCCTAAACTGATCCCAACAAAGAACAGAAACAACAATCGAACACACTGAAACCCGCTCAAAGAGATACAGCGCCTTACTGACCCACTAATGATTCATGGCATGCAAATTTGCACATAACAATTATTGATGATACTACACAAACAATTAAAAGAGTATTAAACCAAAGATAACGCATACACAAGCCGAAACAAAATTCCAAGCAACATAAATATTGATAACAACCCAAGAGAAAGCAAAAGATAACATACCCGCAATATCACCTACTAGAGTCCTGGCCTCCCCTATCTGACACTGTAATGCTCGGCTCCTCTCTGATGGGGATCATTCCCTACCCTTACGACCATCAATGATCGTCAAAGTAACTGGAGTGGGTGCGTTCACTGCTCCTCCCCTCATCATCAGACAGTCGGCCTTCTTGTGGCTCACTTGGTTGCAGTGAAAACATAACATGATTGCCCCCTGAGGACAATCCCTAGAACGACAAACTGTAACACTGTAAATTTCCAAAACAATTTTTCGCATTTATAAAAACATATTTCATTTGTAAATCATAAAAACATCATTGTTTGAAACTCAATGTATAACATATAACAATATCCCAAGATCTCGTATAATAAACTCTAAACTTGAAGTAAATCCTTAGAACAAAGAATCCAACTAATTTGTTCACCATGGTGGTTGCCACTGAGAACTTGAAGCTTTGCATGGCTTAACCTAGACTTCCAAAAGATAGAAGATAAGGGTTTGGCAAGAGAGGGGGTAATTTCTTGAGGAATGAAGATACTATGAATGGCAGATGAAGTTGTTCAAGCCTTCAAGTGCGAGATTATTAGGGTATGAAGTCTTTTTCAACATGAATCACTTAGAATTAACATGGAACACTTAGTATTTACATTGAGGAATTAGATTTGCAATGGAACATCAGAAATCCACAATGGAGCACTTGAAGTTGGAGTGGAGCATCATGAAGGAAAATGAAGCATCAGTAATGCGCCATGCATCATATCATGTCATTATTGTATTAATGCACCACCTATGGCACAAGGTGCATCATCCATGCACAAGGTGTTCCACCTTGGTGCTTGATGTGCCACTCTTGTGTGCATTATTGTGTTCAAAGAATGTTGAAGTGTTGTTGGTGAACAAATAAAGTAGGATGTGTCATTTAAGAAGAGGATGTATCATTCATGATGATGTTGCGTCATTATGGAGCATGATGCGCCACCAAGGTTCATGGTGCACCATCATGGCTCTTAATGTGCCACTCAGGTGCCAAGTTCACTAGGATGCTCAAGATTGTCCAAATGTTGTTCAGAAAAATGGAGATGCTCATGGAGGGTGTTCCACATGGCTGATGCGCCATCTTGATGGTAGGTGCATCATCATGATGTGTCATCATGGTCCATGGTGCACCATTATGTACTTGGTTGATGCTAAAGAGGTTAAAGGTTCTAGAAGCACCTACATGGCATTTCATGATTAGTTGGATATTAGAGCAACACCTTTATAGGTTAATTATGGATGGGTTTGGCCCACCAGAATTAGATTTTCCTATGGTTACCTATAAATAGGTTCATATCCTTATCATTGTAAATTGCTAGATTTTTATGAGGGCTCAAAAAGTGAGATACGATTTTGAGTGTTTGTAATAGTTTTATAAAGCTAATAAAATCCTCTTTCCCTCGTTCGTTCATGGACTTAGTGTTGGATAAGGTGTCTAAGTCCATAATTAAATTGGTACGTACTTGATTTGATAGTAGTATGGTCCTTTTTGATTGCCTTCACTCATGCAACTTGATAGGATGACTGGCGGAGAGAGAGTAGGATTTATTATTCGAAATAATAAATTGGTACTCAAAATTATTTTATTAATATTTTATCAGATTAATATATTATTTGGAAATCATAATATTAATTAGTATTTAATCAAAATTAATTTGGCATTAATTTTGGGATTAAATGAACTGATTAATAATGGAGGGATTGTTTTGCAAATCATTGATAGTTGTGAAATTAGTCTACTGGACTCCTTAATTAGGAGTGGACGAAATCATATAGGGAGGCCTTATAAATTTCATCCAAGGCCTACTTGTAAGAGGTCCATTTGCTGTTTAAACGTTAGGCAGGAAATTAGGGTTTCCTCCAGAAACCCTATCAGCCCTCAGCCATATATAAACCCTCCAAGTTATTAGAATTTCGGCCTAAACATAAGGTTCTAACCTTAGCCGATTTTTCTAATGTCTCTCCTCTCATCTAGTTGCATTGGGTGTTTGTGAACCATTAAAGGTGCAACATTTGGGGTACTAAGCTTTCAAAAGTCAAAGATCTTCAAGATTGTCTTGTTATTACTATATAACAAGTGAGGTAATTTTCTAACCCTAATTTCATATGGATTTTGAAAATGATATGCTAGATCTAGGGTTATTTCTTTGGTATTCTATTTGCATGTTCGTTTAGTGAAAAACTTAGATCCAAAGCAATTATTGTTACATGATCACATAGGATGTTGTTATGCCCATAACATATCACGTAGGTCACCCCGACCGAACCATGTTAAATATTGTGCTCAATTTTTTATTTACGTTTTTTAAAATTTTTATTTATGTAAGGTTCATCGAAGATTGTTTGATATTTGTCTAAAGTTCTTAACATGTTTTGTTGTCTTCCCAACATATTCGTGGCTGGAGACTAGATGAAGGTATCTTGTCCGAGATTATAAATCCATACTTGATTTAAAAAACATTGAAAATGATTATTGTTCTTGACGGTCCAAAACAGTAATCTTGATCTAAATCTTGATTTCAAAGTAGTGGACACCACCGTCGAAAAAATGTACCAATGGATAAATTTATATGTTCATGTTGATTAGTCTAATCTATTGTGAAAGTATATTCAGGTTATAGATAATATTAAATTTGATTCATAATGTTAGTTATTATAAGAACTTGACATCTTTTTAACATTTTTTTTATCACCACCCAATTAAAAAATACGAAATTTTTATCCATTTTGAAAGAGATTCTAAACGTAAGTCATTTCATGATACATGCTACACCATTCAGGACCGAGTACCAACTTATCAAATTCAAAATCAACAACATTTAAAATCTTCCATGAATAACATAACAAATGCAATAGATTCTTGGTACAAGAGTTTGAATTCATTTAAAAATCAACGGTGTCGTTACACCTTTTCCGCAGCGTCCAAAGTCATGATGGTGCTGAGGTTCATGGGTGATATGTAATCGGTAGTGCCAACCAGAATGTTTTTTACGATGAGTCTGTTCGCTTTCTCTGATGGGTGGAAAGGATCCCAAAATGCATATATTTCCCTATTGGGACATAAATTCGATAATGGTGTGCATAGTCCGATTCCGTTGTATGGTCCTTGCCCACAACATGCTATCTTCGCGGTAACAAATCCTACAAAGACATACATAAAAAGGGTGATTAACTTTTTAATAAAATATGCTCTAGACCTAGCAAAGTATATATCGTTACAGGTCGGTTAAAACATTAAACGGGTTGAAAGAGAATGACTGTAACCTGAAATTATGCCGTGTCAACCTGTTCAATTTTATGGCGAGTACATGTTAGGCTTTGGGTTTATGTCTTTTAACGTGTCATGTTAGGCTTTGGGTTTATGTCTTTTAACGTGTCATGTTGTGTCGGTGTAATGTTTCTTAGCATTTTCTTACTTCTCAATTATGTATTGAAATATATATTGGTCAGGCATACAAATCATAGTGTTTTACTTTTTCTATATGAGCATTAGTCCGGTGATGATTTAGGAGACATACCATATCTTCCGGGGTCAGAGATGAAATCGATGCTGGATTGACGAATATTGACACCAATAAACGTACTACTCCTGACCTCTCGGTTGAGATCGTCTAGCATTTCTTGGAGTTGCGGGTTAAACAATCCTGCTGCTCTTTGCAACTCAGCCGAACATTCTCCATTCCTGCTATGTTGGGCTAGTTCCGCTGGCACACAACCTATTGGGCCCGTGCCCGTCACCAAAACCCTACGTAATCCCAATTCGTAAAGCCTCTGCATTCAAAAATTGATCTGTCATCAGTGGTGAAAATTTCAACATTTGGTTTGCAAGTTCTTTGATTTATAATCAAAGAGAAAAAACCAGACAACGTCTTGACATAATACGTCACTGATCAGCATGATGCAATTCAATCACGTCGAATCATGGCACCACAAATTTCTCGTGCGATGTGATTTTACTTATGTTTGGTGGCCTCCTTAACTACAACGACCGAAATAGGCCACCACCAGAAGGATTCAACTCGTGAAATTTGATATATATAATGTACCCTCTTGGTCTGTAATAATTAACTTCATATTAAATGCGTTTGGTACACTGAAAAACCTACTTCAATTCTATCTTTAGTAATAAAAATGCTGTCAGAAAGATGCATCTACCTCCTTTCTTTAGAAATAAATAAATTTCTGTACACCCCTTATATGCTTTTATAATGTTATATTATAATCAGTTGAATCGTCGAGTGTAGCAAAATAACATAGTTCTCATGTTCTTCGACATGCTTCAAATTAAGGGTTCATGCTCATGCATGTATTATATATATATATAAAAAACAATAAAGGTGCACTGAACAGTAACTTTACCATTAGAATTTTCCGGTACTCGGAGACGACATATACGACATAATTGGGAAGTGCAAACTGCCGAGATCTTGCAGAAAAAGGGACCAAATAGTAGTTGTTCACAAAGTCATTGCCTCCCAAAGTCACTAGTGTTAAAGATTGGCTTATAAGCTTTTCAGTCTCTTGAGGACCTATTATATCACTCACCCTTCGCTTGTATTGTTCCAAGTTTGCCATTTGCGTTGGCATCCTTATGATGTTTGCCTGCACCAAATATATTATATCATATGAACCTCAAATTCAGTAATTAATTTCAATAAAATATTCGTCTTAAAGGTTGCATGAAAGCCAGATTTAGATATTTTAAAATATTGAGGATACTCTGTGTGTGTGTGAGTGTGTTTGATTTATGCTTTAAGAGACTGGGAAAACGTGGGCTTCCTATCAACATCAGAATTCAAGGCAACTATAAATCATAATGTTCAGGTGCAAGGAAATAATATGGAGGTCGAAAACCAAGGACCTGTTTTATATATTATTACATCTTTACTTTAGAAAAAGAAAGCAAGTTTAAGTACTTTGAATTTGAAGGTTGTTAGTTTTCCCTTAAATTTAAAGGTGTCATTTTGTCAGACGTCCAGTCTTTTTTGCATTGCTTTATCCAGCCCATACATTGGTAGACAATACACAGATCTGAACTCTGAATTTATACGGCACGTGAAAAAATAGCTAGACGCCCTTGAATGAAGAGTGTAATTAACTTACAAACTGGGCTCCGGTATCGTTGAGTACTCCAACTCCAGCAGAAGCAAAATTTGCTCCAACAAGTAACTTTTGACCTGTGAGCATAGGACTCAAGTATGGCAATGTTGATTCTGCACCTATGGCTTCACCTGGTGATAATCAGATCGAAAAAATAATTAGAAAAAAACAACAAAACAAAAAAAAACAATGAAAGTTATTTGAATATATTTTTGCTCTACATATAACTATTACACAAAACGAGATAGCTTTGACGGAATTATAACAGACAATGTTTTAGGCCAGGTACGTTCACTTATAAAAATATTAGAACGACAATGTTCTATGAACTGCTCATGCCTGAAAACGTTAATTTAGTTTTCTTGATATATATAAAATGCAACATGATTTTTCAAAAAGTTATAGCTAGGAAAGAGAGTAACAAAATGTCAGATCACGGAAACATGAACTTAACTGATAAGGTCAGGGATGTTCAGTCCGTTGGAGAAACGGCCAGTGGGGCGTCGAGTGGGATAATCGATCCCATAAGGCCTATTGTCTGCACGAGCTGTTGTAGCCAAGTAGTTGTTGTTCCCATTATCGACCAATGAGTCACCGAAAACAAAGAATGTTCGAGCATGGGCTTGAAGAGCAACGTTTTTCAACATTAGCAAAGCTAAAAACAAGAACATCGCTTGTGATTTTAAGGTTGCCATTGTAGTGCCACACGATTTGGCTATGTAAGTAGGTGTAAGATATGCACATATACAAAGACTAAGGCTGCTTTTATAATGCTGCTGAAAGCAAGAGTTCAATGATGCCTTTTAATACGCAGCGGGAAGTATGGTGATATGACAGTAGACTAGGTCAAATATGTGGCCAATCCCAACTACACAAGATCGTAGTAGTTTTGGTGCATTTAATTACTCAGTAACTTTCTTTTCATTGTATACATTTTGTACAGGAATCACTGTTTTGGCTGAAATCTTCTAGTATTTTGTTTCCTTTCGGTTAAATAATATGTGATTGTTCCAAGAGCCGTAGGCATGCTCCTGTTTGATATATATATATATATATATATATATATATATATATATATATATATATATATATATATATATATATATATATATATATATATATATATATATATAGGTTACAACCCGTGGGAATCACGGGTAAAAAATTTATAAAATATTTATATTACTAATAAGAGTTAAGTTTGTTTAAAATTTTTTGTATTGATTATATAAAATTAATATATATTTATAAAACATAATACTCCCTCCGCCCCAATATAATTGTCCCAAGACAAAAACCACACATATTAAGAAAAACATTAATTACCATTAACTTTATTTAATAAAATAATAGTTTTGTTCTTACTTTGCATTTGAGTATATTGAATATTGAATATGAGCATAATTTTAAATTTAAAAAAATAATGGGCAAAACTAATAAAACTTATAAACCAATATTTATTCACAATTAATTTTCAAATTAATTCTCAGTTAATTCCTTAAATTATGGAGTTAGTGAGTAATTTTAGATTAAAATAATTATTCCAAAAAATGTCCATAGATAGAGGGATACCAATTCATACCAAATATATGTATATCTATTTTTATATCATTTAAAGTTGTAGGAATTTAAAAGCCAAGAACTTTTGTATTCTAAAGGAAGGGCATAAGAGTAAAATCATAATGGTAGAATTCTGTAATGTTATAGTGACACGTGGATTAAGGGTTTCTTTTATTAAGAAGGAAGATATAATATATATATATATATATATATATATATATATATATATATATATAGAGAGAGAGAGAGAGAGGGGGGGGGGGGTAGGTTCAAATGTTTTCTATATCTATTGTGTGTTAGAATGCACCAATAGAAATTTAATATTAATTATATGTATATTAAATGTTATCCGTACTTATAACTCGTTTTTATGGAAACCAATTAAAGTCGTCATTAATATCAACAATAATATAATATTTTTTCAGAAGTAGAATACACTCTCGTTCTTTATATTCTATGCAACATTATTATATTTTAAATGAGTGAGTCCTAAAACAAAATACGAACTCATATATAAAAACCTAGATGCAAATTCATTCTGAAAGAATATTATTTCTGACATTAATGACGGATTTAATTAGTTTTCATAAAAAGATAATTATAATTATGGATATCATTTAATATACATATAATTATGGAAATCATTTAATATCTATATTTATTTAATTAAATAATTATTTAATGTACTAAATTTCTATTGGTGCATTCTAGCACACAATAAATGTAAAAACAAAATAACCTATATATATATATATATATATATATATATATATATATATATATATATATAAGAATTTAGGTTTTATCTTATATTGGATTTTATGATTAGGCCTTTTAGATAGGAAACCCTAATTAGCTAGTATATATATTATGTTTTTTCTTTCATTGTATTTGTACTTCTATTTGATAATAATACAAAACCCTAACCATTATATGTCTTCACTTGTTAGTTTACATGGTATTAGAGCTCAATTGATCATCTGTACTTTCGTTTTGGGGGCGAGTTGTAGCAGGCACACGACATTATTCATTGAAGTTACTATTAATGGGTTACAATTCACTGCCACTATTCATCAAGTTACTATTCATCAGCATTATTAATCGAAGGTATTATTCATCAACACTATTCACATATTGTTTGCAATTTTGGGAATGATTTTTTTGCTTATTTTTGTATTCAATTTAATTTGATTTGTTCGTCTCAACAACTTTGAGGGTTTCGTTTCATCTGTTAGTTTTGTTGATTTTGTGATCTTGAGTGTTGATGTTACTATTCGTATTTGTTGTGTTTTGGTTATTATCGTTTGACTGATATTAGGAATATGGCCACGATATATTATTATCTTCAGTCCATTAGTATCCAACTCGATGGCAAGAACTATGACTATTGGAGTTATGTTATGAAGAATTTCTTGTGAGGCAAGACTATATGTGGGATTGTTACAGGTGATAGGAAGAAACCAACAGATGTGAAAACTGATAATTATGCAACCTTACTGGATTCATGGGAGACTAATAACTTCAAGATCATTACTTGGATTAATAATTTTGTTATCCAGTCTATTGGAACTCAGTTAGCGAAGTATGACACAGCAAAGGAGGTTTGAGATCACTTGGCTAGGCTGTATACTCAGTCTAACTTTGCAAAGCAGTATCAGGTAGAGTTTGATATTTGAGCCCTCCAACAGAACAACCTCAGTTTTCAGGAATTTTATGCAGCTATGTCGGATTTGTGGGATCGGTTTGTTCCTACAGAACCTGATGTGTTGATGGATTTTAAGCCTTATATTGATAGAAGGGAAGAGTAATTTTGGTTCAGTTCTTGATGACATTACGTTCTGATTTTGAAGGCTTGTTTGGATCAATCTTGCATCGCACACCTCTTCCCACTATTGATTCATTTGTTCACAAGTTGATTGTTAAAGAAACTCATATCAAGTCCCATGTTAACAAAGGTCCCAAGACAGCCACTCATGTTGTCTTTGCAGTTCCACAACGACCTCAGTCTTCCAACCAAAATTTTCCCAAAGTAGCATTTGATGAGTGTGCTTTCAGTAAGAAGAAGAACCATTAGAAGGAAAATTGTCATTTGCTGACAAGCAAGGGAAATAAACAGCAACAACAAACAAGATCACCTGCATAGTCTCAGCCTTCACAGCAGAATAGGTCTTCTGGACAATTACATCCCTCGTTTCCATCTTTTAGGCCACCACAGTACACTTCTGCTACACCTTCAGTTGAGAATGAAACAAATTTTACACCACCAATAGGTTTGGATCCGCAGATTGTTGAGAAGTTCAGATAGATCATTGTTGCCAATCTAACTGTCATGTCAGTTTCCATGTCTCATTCAAGTTTGTCTTCATCCAACACATCATGTATTCCTTCATCCATGTGGGTATTGGATTTTGGTGCATCTCATCACATGTCATCATATTTGTCATCTTTTGCTTCATTATCTTCTCATATACCTATCTCTGTTATGTCTGCTAATGCTACACCCATGTCAGTAGAGGGTGTTGGTTCTATTTTCACTCTTTATATATCTTTAATAGATGTGTATTACACTCCCACACTTAATTTGAATCTTGTATCGGTCAGTTAGTTATGTAAATCTAGTTGATGGGTCTTCTTTTCTGATTCATTCTATTATGTACAGGACATTCGGTCTCAAAGGGTGATTGGGATAGGCTGTAGACTTGGGCAGCTTTATGTTTTTTAGCAACTACATGTTGTTGATGTTGTTGCATCTAGTTTCGATTTGTTATCTTCTCGTTTAAACTCTTTGACGTCTGTTTTTTATCTTTGACATTCTCGTTTGGGACATGTGTCAGTGTCTCGTTTACAGTTTTTTGGTTTCCACTGATGTGTTAGGTTCTTTGAAAATTGATGATGTTTCTGATTGTTGTGGTTGTAAACTGGGAAAATTTTCTGCTTTACCGTTTAATAAAAGTGTCACTCGTTCTGTTACTCCCTTTGATATCGTGCATTCTTATGTGTTAGGTCCATCTCCGATCACCTCTAAATCGGGAGCTAACTATTATGTTTCATTCATTGATAATTACACTCGTTATACATGGGTTTATTTTAGGAAGCGTATGTCTGAATTTTTCACCATATATAGTGAATTCAGAGCACTTGTGAAGACTCAATGCTATGCTGTCATAAAATGTTTTCAGAATTTACCTCCAATGATTTTAAACAATTATTGGCATCTAATGGCACTGTACATCAGCCATCTTATACAGACACTCCTCAGCAGAATGGTGTTACAGAAAGAAAACATCGGCATCTTCTAGAAACTACAAGATCCTTACTACTTTCTACTCAAGTTCCCAATACTTTCTAATCGCATTCCTACTGCGTACACTTCGGGGAAGTCTCCTTATGAAATGTTGCTTGGACAAATTTCAAATTATTCTTCATTACAAGTGTCTGGGTGTACATGTTTTTTCTTAAAGCCTCATGTAGAGAGAGATAAGTTGTCTTTAAAATCAGCTCTTTGTGTTCTTCTGGGATATGGTATTGGTCGGAAAGGTTATCGGTGCTATGATCCATCAAATCAGAAATTGTATGTCTCTCATAATGTCACTTTTTTTGGGCATATTCCATTCTATAGCATTCATGTTCAGTCACATGATGCAACACAAGAGGAGCTTCGTACTATTGATCTGTTTAGTATTGACATTGATGATCCACCACATGTCACTGATTCACCACCTACTACTGATCAACCACCTGTCGCTATTCCTCTGCCTGTAGATCATCAAGACCCCCATCCATCGAGGCCTTATCATAATAAGAAGTCCCCAAAGCTTCATGACTGTGCCTATTCCTCTTAGTCACTAGTGTTTGTCTTATTTAATGCTAATGTACATCGTCTCTCTTGGCCAACATCCTACAAAGAGTTCATTTATGATCCCCTTTGGCAGACCGCTATGGCTAAGGAACTTGCAGCTCTTTATCATACTCATACATAGGAAGTGGTTTCGCTTCCATCCGGAAAACACACCATTGGTTGTCATTGGGTATATAAAATAAAAACAAAGTTTGATAGTTCCATTAAGTGTTATAAAGCCAAACTTTTTTCGAAAGGGTACGCGCAAAAGTATGGTATGGATTATGAGGAGACGTTTGCTCCTATTGCAAAATGACTATTGTTCGCACCTTGATTGCAGTTTCTTCCATTCGCTAATGGAATATTTATCAGATGGATGTCAAGAATGCGTTTGTGAATAGTGATCTTCATGAGGAAGTATACATGACTCCTCCCCCTGGTATTGCTCACCAAC